ATTTTCCCTCTGCATTGGGAAGGCTTTGCTCGAGCCTGCACTGCCGCCTGTCACCCTGGTCCCCTCCTGACCATCAGGTTCTCACTAACAGCAAGTGGAGACTCAGTCCCTTCCATCTTAGCAAATGCAGTATTGCAATTTCCTCCTGTGTCCTGTTCTTACAACAACCGTTACCGGCTGTGGGCCCTGCCAGGTTCTTGTCTGCCTCCTCATTGTCCATGTCGTCATACTGCCGCCTCCCTCCTTCCCTCCCAGCCTGTCTTGCTGCTGGTGACCTGCCAGGCATGGAGGAAGTTTGTGAAGTCCAGCAAGTGCCAGACCAAATCCTCTGCTCTCCAGAAACTTGCTCTGGGCAATCAGTGTGATATTTCCACCCACTGTTGGCTGGGAAGACAAGCTTTCTTCCCCTCCCGTTGTTCCTTCCTCACAGTACTTGCGCTTGACCCCCTGGGGTCTGATATGTGGCCTTTTTTTTTTTTTAAAGATTTATTTATTTTATTACAAAGTCAGATATACAGAGAGGAGGAGAGACAGAGAGGAAGATCTTCCGTCCGATGATTCACTCCCCAAGTGAATGCAACGGCTGTTGCTTGCCCCGATCTGAAGTTGGGATCCAGGAACTTCTTCCGGGTCTCCCACAGGGGTGCAGGGTCCCAAAGCTTTAGGCCATCCTAGACTGCTTTCCCAGGCCACAAGCAGAGAGCTGGATGGGAAGTGGAACTGCCGGGATTAGAACCGGCACCCATATGGGATCCCGGGGCATTGAAGGCGAGGACTTTAGCTGCTAGGCTACGCCGCCGGGCCTGATATGTGGCGTTTGTAAGGATGTGTGGTCTTGTGCAAAGCTGTGCATGCGGAGTTGCCTTTGTTGAATTTTTCCTAGATTTCTTTGTTCATTTTTTGCTAAGCTGCACCTTGCAGTCTCATGACTCCGGCTTGTCCAGCCACCTGGAGTCTCTGGCTTTCACTTTCTGCCTGCTTCTTTTTTCTTTTCCTTTTAATTTCAGGTTGAGTGAGAGGTCTGATAGGGAGATAACAGAATAGCTCTGTAAAGCTGGATCTTGGCTCTAAGTTCCCTTGCTTTGCCTCTGATAGTGGCTTGGAGTGTCCTGCGAGAGAGGCCCGTGTGTTACAAGGGCTCCATCCAGAGCCTCATTTTTTTTTAAATTTGAAGATTTATTTATTTTTATTGTTGAGACAGATTTACAGAGAGAAAGATCTTCCACCTGCTGGTTCGCTCACCAAATGGCCGCAATGGCAGGAGCTGAACTGATCTGAAGCCAGAAGCCAGGAGCTTTTTTCTGGATCTCCCACGCAAGTGCAGGGTCCCAAGGCTTTGGGCCGTCCTCCACTGCTTTCCCAGGCCACAAGCAGAGAGATGGATGGGAAGCAAAACATTTGGGACATGAACCAGCACACAGGTTAGATTCTGGCACTTGGAGACGGACCATTGTGCTGGCTCCTCATCACTTGGGAGGTGATGGAGTGGGATGGATTGTTTGTGTGGGACCCTGTCACCGCATAGGGCTGTTTGGATATCACTCACTCAGGGGACCACGCAGAATGATCAGCTTCAACACTGGCCCGTTGTAGACTTACTGAACCATGAGTCCCACTTGTGGTTGCCTTAGCAACAGATCGATAGCCGTGAACTGCATGCACATCCCCCAGGCCTGCTTGCCAGGTAAACACCCAGACTCCTGGGTCTGCCACTGGTGCTTGCTCTGGCCACACGTGATTCCCTGCACCTCACCTTGTGACTCAGCCATAGCAGATGGCAGCGGGAGCCCATGGTAGTGGCTGGATTGGCAGGCTGCCTGAGTGGGGCCTCCCCACTTCCAACAACTGTGAACTGAAGTGGACCTCCTGCCTTCATAGGAAGCTTCTCTCAGGCGCTTCACTGTAGTCACCAAGTAGGCAAAACCAACTCACTGCTGGGGGAGTGTAGGCTAGTACAACCACTGTGGAAATCAGTACGGAGGGTGCTTAGAGAATTGCAAATGAACCTGCCATATAACCCAGTTATCCTGCTCCTAGGAATATACCCAAAGAAAATGAAAATTGCATATGAGAAGGGGATCTGTAATCCTATATTCACAGCAGCAAAATCTACAATAATGAATAAAACAGGTACAGGGTATGGCATCCTCACCACCCTCTCCACCAGGTACCCTGTTCTTTGTGTTCAAGGCCTGATACGTTCTTGGACTTACTGTAGGATGCTAAACATGTGCTAAACCACATCAGGATTGTTTCAGTGAGAAGTTAGGGTGCCTTGCCGGTGGTGGGGAGCAGTGTGTACAAGTTGAGGTTCTGGAGTGTCAGTTCCAAGAGGGTGGGAGCGGTGAACCCTTCCCTGGCTGCAGAGGAGCCAGGTTCAGTGTCACGGGACAGGGCCCAGCTTCACAAAAAACCCTGCTGTCTGGGAAAGTCAAGTTCTCCCACATCCCTCAGCAGTCTGGCAGCATTCTGTTACTCCCAACCCAAACTGAGACCCGGCTGTCCACTCTGCCTTGTGTATACAGCAGACACCAAGTCAGTGTGTGGTTGGGGTCAGAGTGGACGCCTGCTGTGTACTTGGGGTCATAGTTGATGCCTGCATGATGTGAAACGAGCAGCACACCCTCCCCTTGGGATCACACAGGCCTCTGTGGACATTTGGCCTTGTCTCTGTGAACGTTGATGGCTGGGCACAGGACTCGGGTGGGGAGGGGTGAGCTGGGTGCCCTGCCGGGCTCTTGCCTTACCTCTCGGCACCCTCCACTGTGTTCCTGGCATTCTTTCCGCCAGGCTTCTGCTTCATATCTGTGCTCATCGAAGCTACACTTGTCCTGTAAGGCCACCATCCTACAAATATGCCCATCCCCTCTGACCATGCACGACAGGCGGCAGCCCTCCCACCCATCCCTGGTGCTCACTAGCTCCAATGTCAGCGTGTCCTTGCCCTGGTTACCATCCCCTCCTCTTAGAATCCGTGCTGTGGGGCCGGCATTGTGGCTCAGTGGAGTAAGCTATTACTCATGGTGCTGACATTTCACTGGGAGTGCTGACTCAAGTCCTGTCTGCTCCACTTCCCATCCAGCTCCTCGCTCATGTGCCTAGGAAAGCAGCAGAGGGATGGCTCAAGTGCTTCAGCCCCTGTGACCCATGTGGGAGACCCCAGGTGGGGTTCCTGGCACCTGGCCTTGACTGTTGGCACCACTTGGGAAGGATGATCTGTCTGTTTCTCTCTCCGTCTCTCTGTCACTGCCATTCAAAGTGAGTCAGTACAACTCTGAAGAATCTACACTGTGCCTGTCCTCAGCAGCCTTCTCTATCTCCTGCAGTTTGTTTCTACTCAGCCATGGCCAGGGTCTGGTCTTCCCCGGAATCCCAGTGACCCCTGTGCAGCACCTTCAGCAGATGGGCCTGTGGGAACACCTGCCTTTGAAAGGGGGCGCCATGGTCACAGCTGCTCTTGCAGGAAAAAGGCTGGACCACAAAGAGAGAACTCTTTCTATTTTCTGGGCCACCTGGAATCTCTCTCTCTTTTAAGATTTATTTATTTTTATTGGAAAGGCAGGTTTTTTTAAAGATTTTTTTTTTATTAGAAAGGCAGATACACAGAGAGAGGGAGATTTCGAGAGAAAGATCTTCCATCTGCTGGCTTACTCCCTAAGTGGTTACAAAGGCCAGAGCTGAACTGATCAGAATCCAGGAACCAAGAGCTTCTTCCAGGTCTCCCACGTGGGTGCAGGGTCCCAAGAGCTTGGGCCATCCTCTACTGCTTTCCCAGACCACAAGCAGGGAGCTGGATGGGAAGTAGAGCAGCTGAGATATCAACTGGCATCTATATGGGATGCTGGGTGTGCAACACAAGGATTTAGCCACTAGAGTATCATGCCAGGCCCCACTGGAAAGGCAGATTTACAGAAAGATCTTCCATCTGCTAGTTCACTCCCCAGGTGGCTGCAATGGCCAGAGCTGAGTTGATCAGAAGCCAGGAGCCTGAAGCCTCCTTCAGGTCTCCCACATGGATTCAGGGTCCCAAGGTTTGGGCCATCCTCTACTGCTTTCCCAGGTCACAAGCAAGGAGTGGGTGGGAAGTGGAGCACCCATATAGGATGCTACCTGTGTAGATGGGGAATTAGCCATTGAGCCATTGTGGCAGCCTCTGGATTCTCCATTTTGAAGAGAGCCAAGATCACTCAGCTGTGATTGGAAACCCACTCTATGAGGTGAGATTTCTCGGCAGTGTTTTCGTAAAATGCATGGTAACTGTATACATGCAGCCACAAGGGAAGACTGGGGCGGGCATTTGATCTAGCAACTTCAAATGCCATTTCAGAGGCCAGCAGGGTGGATTAGGCCACTATGTGCAGTGCCAGCATTGCATAGGGCTGCCTGTTTGAGTCCCAGCTGCTCCACTTTCAATCTAGCTCCCTGCTAACGCACCTAAAAAGGAAGCAAAGAAAGGCCCATGAGCCATGTGAGAGCCCCGGCTGGAGCTCCAGACTCCTGGCTTCAGCTTGGCCCAGCCTCGGCCTTTGCAGCTATTTAGGGGAGTAAACCAATGGATGAATTTTTTTTTTTCTCTCTCTCTTTCCTTCTGTCTCTGACTTTTAGATAAATGCAAATTTAAAATACAAATATACTTTTTAAGAATTGCATGCTGGGCCCGGCGGCGTGGCCTAGTGGCTAAAGTCCTTGCCTTGAACGCCCCAGGATCCCAATGGGCACCGGTTCTAATCCCAGCAGCCCCACTTCCCATCCAGCTCCCTGCTTGTGGCCCGGGAAAGCAGGAGAGGACAGCCCAAAGCTTTGGGACCCTGCACCTGCGTGTGAAATACCCGGAAGAAGTTCCTGGCTCCTGGCTTCAGATCGGCATAGCATTGACCGTTGCGCTCACTTGGGGAGTGAATCATCGGATGGAAGATCTTCCTCTCTGTCTCTCCTCCTCTCTGTATATCTGACTTTCCAATAAATAAATAAATCTTTAAAAAAAAAAGAAAAGAAATGCATGCTGTATCTACTGTCTGTACTCCTCGAATTGTTTGGAATGTTCGGGGTAACTTCTTAAAGCATTTTTCTGATAAGAAATATTCCTAGACAGGTTGAGCTGTCCTGTGGAAAGCCCTCATTTCACCTGGCCCCCGGCATGGGGCGCCCAGCTTCCCCATGGCGGGACACCTGACTTCACGCCATGGCCTGGGAGGGCCGGAGTCAGGCTGGGTGGACCACGGAGCCTGGCTGAGCTTCCAAGGCCCTCCCGGTGGGCCCGCCATCAGGTCGCGAGTTGGGCCGGGCTCGGACTGTGGGGGCTTCCCCGGTGTCTCCCGCTGTAGGAATTCTGCAGAGCCATGGCGCACTGCACACCACAGCTCTCATCCTGAGGGTGAGGCCGGGCCCCGCGTGGGGAGCATCTCCGAGGGGACCTCCCAGGAGCCGGCGCTGCCCCACATGGTGCCGTGAAGATCGAAAATGAGAATCTGGAGCAAATCCCTGAGGAGCCCCAGGGCATCAAAGCTCTCCAGAAAGAACTGGAGCAGTTTACCGAGCTTCGGAAGCAGAAAAGCATCATCCTGGGGGTACACTCAGGCCGACGAGGGCTCACCCTGGGAGTTCTCTTTGGAAAGGTGTTCAGCCGAATGACCATCTGCCGATTTGAGGCCCTGCAGCCCAGCTTCAAGAACATGTGTAAGCTGCGGCCCTTGCTGCAGAAGTGGGTGGAGGAAGCGGACAACAGCGAGAAGATTGAGGAGATTCGCAAAGTTGAGACCCTGGTGCAGGCTGGGAAGAGAAAGCAAAGGAGTATTGAAAACCGAGAGGCAACTTGGAGAGCATGTTCCTGCAGTGTGAAACCCTCGCCGCAGCAGATGAGCCACATCGCCCAGCAGCTGGGGCTTGAGAAGGACGTGGTCCCCGTGTGGTTCTGGAACCGACGCCAGAAGGGCGAGCGATCAAGCAGTGACTGTTCCCAACGAGAGGAGTTTGAGGCTGCCAGATCTCCCTCCCCAGGGGCACCTGTCTCTTTTCCTCTGGCTCCGGGGCCCCACTTTGGTACCCCAGGCTATGGCAGCCCTCACTTCACCATGTTGTACTCCTCGGTCCCTTTTCCTGAAGGGGAAGCCTTCCCTGCAGTGCCTGTCGCTGCTCTGGGCTCTCCCATGCGTTCACTGAGCCGCCTGCCCTTCTCTCCCAGGAATGGGGTGGGGCAGAGGTCAGGGGAGATGCTAGGGAAGGAGCACCTGGAGTCTGCAGCTGGGACTTTGGGGATCCCAAGTCCTTCACTCAGTAAGGCAGGGATTGGAAACATGGAGGGTGGGGTAAGGAGTGTTCAGGGGGAAACTATTTGGAAGGAAGGTGAAGTTCAATGATGCTCTGGATTTTAATCCCCACATCACTTTGATTTTAAAGAAACTTGAGACACTAAAAAAAAGAAAAAGAAATATTCCTAGACTGAAAAACAGTTTATTCTGGTCCTTGATTCAATAAGTGCATCCGTTCCCCATAATACAGAGGTCCGTCAGGCTAACTCCGTCAGCTGCCCGCTCCTGCCCAGCCCGTTCAGCTGCATGCCCACTAGAGGTCGCTCTTCGCCTCCGTCAGGGCGGCCCCAAGCGTTCAGGGCACTCTGGCCTGAGCCTGGTGGGGCTCCGGAGGGATCCACAGCAACAGGTGCAGGCGGGGGAGGTACACAGGTCCTCGGCGACATTTGTGGCCTCCCTCTCCCTGGAAGAGGGACCAGGAGTCAGGGCAGCTGCAGAGGGAGGGAAGTGAAGTCAGCCATACAACTTGGTTACTTGTAGCAATTCCTGCTCTGGCTGGGTGGGCGCTAATGTGAGGGCTGCAAAGATAAAGCAGTAATGAGCTTTGCTCGTTCCCCTCCCCCCATCATTTGCTTTTATTTTATTCGAAAGGCATGAGGAAAGGTTGTGGGTAGAGAGGAAGCGAGAGAGAGACAGAGGAGAAAGAGATCTTTCACCTGTTGGTTCACTCCCTCAATAGGTGCAGTGGTTGGAGCTGAGCCCATCTGAAGCCAGGAGCTTCTTCCAGGTCTCCCACGTGGGTGACCTGAGCCATTCTCTATTGCTTTCTCAGGCCATTCCCAGGGAGCTGGATCAGCGGTAGAGCCACCAGGACTAGAACTGGCGTCCATATGGGATGCTGGTGCCTCCGGTCAAAGCTTAGCCTATTGTGCCATGACAATAGGGGCCAGGACTCAGTCTCTTTCAAAGGAGGATTTTGCTCAGGCTTTGGAAAAAGTAGAGAGGTGTCAGCCCCTTGATGGCCACAAAAGCCAGAGCTGAGCTGATCCGAAACCAGGAGCCAAGGGCTTCTTCTGGGTCTCTTACACGGGTGCAGGATCCCAAGGCTTTGGACGATCCTCGACTGCTTTCCCAGGCCACAAGCAGGGACAGAAACCATTGCCCTCATGGAATGTTGGCACTGCAGGCAGAGGCTTAGGCTACCAAGTTACAATGCCGGCCTCATTTTTTTTTTCTTAAAAGTGAAGATTAAATTTAAAGCAAGACGTTTATTAGCACCCTATTGGTCAGACGTGTGCGCAGGCGACCCTTGGCAATGTCCTGCTGCCTCAGCCCGGGGTTGAGCCCTTCACAGGTTTCCGTTTAGAAACACCAATGCTGCTGTCCTGTAAACCTCTCTCTTCTAACGACCTTGCGGTTGATTTGGAACGGGATCGCCCGCATTCCCCTAGCAGTTTGAAGCTGATAGTCCAAAATCAAAGTCGGTGTCTGGCCAGTCGCTGCTAAGACGCCGCTTGCGGATGCTCACAGCCTGTTCCCAAGTGCCTGGGGTTCAAGTCCCAGCTCCACTGCCAACACCAGCTGCTTGCCGATGCAGTCAGCGAGGGCTTGAGTCCCTGACACATTTTAGCACCCAGGAGCTACACCCCAAGGCAGTGGTGTTTTCTGCTAAACACACAGCTCCGCCTAGCGGCCATGAGAAAACCGGCTTTTGGCGCTTCCTTTCCCACATTCCCACCCCCGCCCACCCAAAAGACGTACCAGGGGGCCGGTCTCCCCCTTTGGTGGTGAGGACAGCACCCCATCGCACCTTGCAAACCGGTTCCGTGCAGAGAGCGCTCTCCTGAATCACTGGCTTGAAAAGGGTCCAAGTGCAGTTGTTGGGTTTAATGATGTGCGTTATTATAGGCTTTGGGTGCTGTGGGAGCGCCAAGAAAAAGGGGGAACAATGCAAGCTCTCTTAAGGAAACGTCCCCCGTGCGGAGCCGGGCAGACAACATAAGCCCCAGTGTTGTGCAGGGCCCGCGGTTTTCCCTCACATTTTTACGGCATTAATCAATTTGCATTGTAATTGAGAGGAAACACCGTTCCCACACTCCAGTTTTGTTTACTGAGAAAGGATCTGGAGAGTGGAGAGGAAGTGCCAGGAGCCGCAGCGCGGCCCTCCAGGCCTTGACCTTGAGAAGAAACCTGCTGGTGTATCAGCAGCCTTAGGACCCCAATCACAGGCGATGGCCTTTGCTTTGTCTTAGCCCATACAAGTGGCCTCAGATGTGCCACTTGGCGTGTGTGTGCGCGCGCGTGCGTGCGTGCGTGCGCCAGGCTGGGTGACCAATCACGAAAAACCATCTCACCTCAGGTAGGATGCGTCTTGGCTGCGAAGGGGACTTTGCAAAGTACTTGGAAGACGGAATGAAAAGATGTTTCTTTGAGGGCAGGAGAAGAATGTACAAAGGATCTTCTGAAAGTTCGTGGAAAGTGTATTATGCAAAAAAAAAAAAGTAGGCATGCACTTACTTAATTTAAAATCCTTTTTCATTCTGTTTTTCCACAAACCTGTGAAACACTACCCCCGTTGCCCTGCCACTGCCTGACACAAGGCTGGGGGCACCCGGGCAGGGTTTGCAGCTGGGACCCACCCTCTGGTTCCTGCAATTCAACCTTCACCTTGGAAGGGAGGTGGCAGAGCAACGCCACTTGCACAGAGCAAAGCGGTGACCATATGCCGCTGCCTTTTAATAGCAGCTCCTTGGTACCTGGCTAAAAGTAGCTGCGTGCTGCTTGTGGGAGGGCGGGGCGGGGGGGGGGGTACTTTTCACACCTCGTCCTGGCGCCTTCCTTACACACTTTCTCGGTCACCCAGCCCCATCCCCTGGGCTTGGGCATCTCAAGGCCTCTTTGGGCCTTTGCGAATGATGTATGCAGGTGCCACGTGCAGCTGAGCAACCTGCCCTAGCGCCAGCCTCTCTCCCAGCCATCCTCTCAGCTCTCCTCTTCCCTCACCTCTTACACAGTGGTTCCCTGGACGGGCTCCAAAGGACTTTTCTTTCCTCCCTTGATGAGCGTTTTATTTTTAAGAAGAAAAGCCAAGCACTTTTTTTTTTTTTTTTTTTCACAGCCCTGGCCAGATGGAGCGCGCGCTCTCCGGAGGCGGCACCTTGCTGAGAGAGATGTGTGGCTAAGCCCCCGTTGAGGGATCTCAGGCCGTCCTGCCAACTCTGCCAGCTCTGGCTCACCTTGCAGAAATACCTGGCTCGTGTGGGAGGCACAGCACCTCGGGCGGCGGTCTCCTAACAGCGTCCGTCCTTATACAACTGACCAGAGCCTGAGGCTCTCCTGGCTCTCCAGCGCCCTGCTTTCCTCTTCCATGTCCTCCTCGTGGTGGGCCCCAGCTTCCTGTCCCCAAGCTGTACGCTGGGGCACTGTGGGTCTCCGTCATGATGTCATCCTTTTCGCCCCCTAATCCTCTCCTTCCTGACGCGTTTCTCACTCGCCACGGATCAGGGTTGGGTGGTCTCTGAGATGGACATGCTGGTGCTGTCTCCTGCTGCTGCTGAGGCACAGAGCCCCAGGACCCCTCCCACTGCTTCACCACCACCCGAGTTGTGTTCCCTGTCCTGGTGGGCTGTGCTGCCACTGGGCTCTGGTCATTGGCCCTCCATGCATGCCCAGTGACCGGAGAGTGGGCAGTTCTGTGCAGTACAGGCCACTCCCAGCACTTGCCAGCACTCAGGGTGTGGGGCCAGCAGCTACTGGAGCAGGTGCTGGGCTGGGGTGGCACCTCCATGTTGTCCCCTTCCCGGTTGCCCTCTGATGTGCTGAGCAGATGGGGAATCTCCGAAGGGTCCAGTTGCTTGCCAGCCGGAGCTGGGCCTTCTGTGGTTACACCTGCTGCACGTGTGGCTTACGCTGTACCCCTCCTGGCTAGGCCCCCCCTCGTTCCCCTCTGTGGTTACCCCCAACATGCCCAGGGCAGAAACTGGAAGGAAGGAAGTTGGTCTTTGTGTTCATTTTTTTTTAAAGAGATTATTTATTTTTGTTGGAAAGGCAGATTTACAGAGAGAAGAAGAGACAGAGAAAGACTTTCCATTCACTGTTTCACTCCCTAAGTGGCCGCAACGGCTGGAGCTGAGCCGATCTGAAGCCAGGAGCCAGGAGCTTTTTCTGGTTTTTTTTTTTTTTTTTTTTTTTTCCACGTGGATGCAGGGGCCTAAGGCTTTGGGCCATCCTCTGCTGCTTTCCCAGGCCACAAACAGAAAGCTGGATGGGAAGTGGAATAGTTGGGACATGAACCAGTGCCCATATGGGATCCCAGCACTTGCAAGGTGAGGATTTAGCCAATTGAGCCACCGCATGGGGCACCTCCATGTTAATTCTGGCATATTTTTTCTAAATAGGCCTTGCTTTTGCTGGGTGTCTGAGCAATGACCAATGTGGAAATCTGCCTGGGCTCATCCTCCCGGCATTTTCAGCCCCGAGGGACCGGGGGTCCAGGCAGCTGTGGGGTGGCCTCCCCTCTGCCTCCGCTGCTGGGAGGGGCTGGTGATGTCAAGGTCATGGCCGAGGTGCCCGACAGGAGAGGGGCTGCTGCTGAGAGCTGCTGTTGGCTTTGCTGGACGCACCGTGCGGGCTGTCAGTGCTGTCTCGGGAAGCCAGCCCTGACAGGGTAGGAAGGCTGTGGGCAAAGCTGGGGCAGACTTGGTCAGATTTATCCTTAGTAGCTGGGTGTGGAGCTGCCCAGGATCTCGCCTGCACCCCCAAATGCCTTGCTCATGTCTCCTTGCCTGTTGGTCACTGGAAGATGTACCAGGAGCACCCCCTTACAGGGTTGTATGAACCTCTACCCCTCGAGGGCAGAACTGGGGGCAGCCTGTAGGCTGTGGGGCGGGGGCTGGCGGGGTGGTCCGACATCCTGCAGAAGATGTTGCCCCTCCCCCACCATGGCAATGCAGGAGAGGGATTCAGGGGGCTCTCTCACCCCATCCCTCCATCTCGCCCCGGAGTAGCGTCTGCCACTCACTCGCC